GACCGTTATTTTTGTTTGATCTTTCGAAGCGCGTGCGGGCGAGTCGGACGAGTGGCGTGCGGCGTGCGCGAAACGCTCGAGCGCAACCGAAACCTTCGGCGGTTGGGGTCTGCGCGTTAGATGGTTCTTTCAGCTTTCAGTTCGGCGGGATTGCTGCTGTCTATCGATATTACTGTGCAGCAAAGTGGTGCCAGCATACGAAAAAATCCGCTGACTGCAGTTTTTTTTTCGTTTTGCGACGGACGACAGGTGAGACTACAAACTTCGTACGCGCGATACTGAAAGAAGTGAACGCGTTATGTTATGCGCGCTATTTTTCTTCTTTTCCGCTTACTTTTTCAAATAGAGCCAGTGAATGGATCTGCTATGCAAATTGCCCAGAGTTCAAGTTGCTGCCGTTGAGCAAACTCCGCGAACGTCGTCTCTGCGGCGAACGGCTTGTTTGCTTCTTGCTCGAGGTGTGAGTTTCTTTTATTGGCTGTGTGGCAACTTGGTGCATATATTCGTTACTTAAAATCCTGTCAATACTTCCCTGCATATTGTATATTGTACTTTTAAGGTTGCTCATACATTGTATAAAAAAGAATTCGAATGCTGTGCACTGGAGTTTTAGTATGCTTTTTCGTGTGATGACTAGGACGGCATTATGGGGTATAAAAGTAATTTGTAATTTCTTGTAAACGTTTTATTGAATGTCATGGGTAAGATCTTAAATAAATGAGATGTGCTATTTGTGAAAACTGCTTATTTAAGACGTATGTAGTAATAAAGTAAATATGTAAAATATGTAAATGCTAATTGAAAGATGGCGAGATGCCAGTGAACGCAATTATTTCTATATGATGTCACATGTTACATGTTTGTATATCTATGCTCTTGATCTCGCCATAAAGCTGACTTAATCATTGTTTGTGTATTCCTGCAAACTTTCTCTCAATTCTGTAAATACTTGTTAGAACGTGAAATGACTTCAAATAAAATGCGTCTTATTCAATCTTCCGGTTTTATGACGTTTCCTTGGCGAGGTTGTGTGCAGTGTACGCGTGCTTGTTGTTAGGCATCGATAAAAAAACAGCAAACACAGATGTCCGAATCAAGCGACGTCCGTGTTTACAGTGTGAAAAAGCGATGCTTTAACACAGACGCATGAGCGCGCGCCGCACGCCAAATCTCAACACGCATCACCACCCATCATCGTACACGCACGCGCGATAAACACAAGCCGAAGAATGGATAGTTGGGCGAGTTGGTGGAAATTCATCGTAGGAAACAGCGCGAAAAACAAACGAGGACGAAGAAAAAACACACGGGACGAGCGCTCGTCCCGTGTGTTTCTTCTTCGTCCTCGTCTGATTTTCGCGCTGTTTCCTACGGTGAAACACACGCATACATAAAAAAAAAAGAACGGTCGAAAAAAGAGAAAAAAAAAGACAGGAGGGAAGGGGAGAGGATAAGGAAAAGGGGTGAGCACGTTGATGATGATGATAGCTGTTCGCTTTAGTGGCGCCGTGGCGCCATCTGCAAGTAGTTTACAACCCAGACCTAGTTCGCGAGACTGCCGCAGCGCCTAGCGGCGCTAGTTTCGCCGCACCATGGTGGAAGCTACGGCCACAGTGGAATCATAACCAGTGGTCCCACTCAAGGCCACTTCCGGTAATCGCGCATAGGAACCGTGCGCATCTAATTCAAGACCCGACCAGGGCGCCCCTAGCGGCAAACGGGTCCATCGCATCGGGGAGCTTCTGCCAGTCGCTGCGTTGGTTGTGCGTTGTAGTGGGTTAGCGTTGTAATTTCTGAGATGGCTATTCCGCACCAAGAAAGCCGCAACAATAGGTGAGCGGCGTTTGGCAACTTCCGGTTCCTTAGGAAATTTTACTTAGCTGCTGACAAATGACGATGATGATCTGCAAGCCTGTCTAAGCATGGTTCTGAAAACTACAGTCTGGAGGTTTTAGTATTTTGCTTGCACAGGCTCGCAGCTCATTGGCGTCGTTTGTCAACAGTGAAACGAAATTCCTTATGGAACCGGAAGTTGCCAAACGCCGCTCACCTATTGCTGCGCGGTCGGCTGCAACAGTACGTCGAAGATCGCACACGGCACGAAGTACTACATCGTCCCTTCGAAGCCGTACGGCCGTACGAGGCGGAGTACTGCGCGACCTGCTGGTGCGACTTGCGCGTCCATACAGGTTAGTGGCGTTTCTTACCTTTCTGTTCGCGCTTTGTTTCAGCTGCTGACGAATAATACAATTAACTTTTTTCTATTCTAGCGACGATGGAACAGCATCGACACCGACGGCAAACTCTAAAGTATGCGGCAAATACTTCACCGGAATCGAGAAGCGGAGTGCGGTCGCCCCCCTAAGCCTACACTTGGATGTTTCCATCAGCCTACAGGAAGATAGTAGTGGGAATCGCGGAACGGCGAGAAAAAAATCGCCCAGTTATTGTCAAGCTGATTCAGAAATAAACGTACATAATTACCACGGTCCACTCAACGCCAACTACATTTTTTTGCGGGCACGCTTAATTTTGTTAGCGGAGTACGGCGCTCCGTGACATCCACTTGTCCGTCGAAACGGACCTCCTTCACGTCGTACACGCGGCCAGATTCACGAAGGAGTTTTCCTTTCTTCATATTGGTACCACGGAAGAAGCTTTCTAGATTCGTAACCGCCTTAAACCCCGTCGTAATCACCCCGGGAACACTATCCGCTGTGCTCGCTGTGCTGCTCATCGCCATTGCTTCCCCCGATGATTCTGCACCGGCTACCGAAGAAGTTTTCCGGATTCGTAATCGCCCTCTGTCCTCTGTGGTGTTCGTTGCTATTACTTCCCGATGATTCTGCGCCGACGGCACCGGCTACCGAAGGAACTTTCCGAATTCGTAACTGCCTTAAATTCCTTCGTAATCACGACGGGGACACTGTCTGCCGTGCTGTTCGTCGCCATTGCTCCCCGATGCTCCTGCGGCGGCTACCGGTAGGTCGCGGCGAACAATAGGCGACCGCCGCGACACGGCCGGCATGCTCGCTTCCTATACACAGCGCTCCTCAAGCCGGATGGCGACAACTGAAGTTGTAAAACAAAAACAAACAGAAAAACAGGGTAAAAAAGAATCGCAATTGACTAAATTGAGTGCGTTAATGTTAATATTTTTAGGAAACATAATAAGCTAGTTAATAATGATAAACCAACATGGAAAGAAAAAATCGAGCAGTTACCGTTAGCTTCAAAAAGTTCATTGCCCTAACCGAAGCCATGTCGCCGGTCGCGTTGTCGGCGTTGTGGGGGTTGTGGGTGTTGCTGTTCTGCGAATTTCTCTTTCCTAGTACATTTCCCTTTCGGTTGGATCCTCGCTTGGCGTTTTAATGTCACGTGAGTTACCGAATCACGCTATGAATGTGTTCTAAATGGGCCTGCTCAGGCAAGAAGCCAAAAAGCCGGGGACTCACTTCGCCGTTCGAGATTCCGGGATTCCGTTTCAAGTTCGTTGCTGGTGAGTGCAAACATTTTAAAGTGCTCGTGCTGTCCTTCGCGTCAGGCCATGGCACGATCGTCTTTTCTCCAACGCAGTGCATGTGACTCGGTTAATTTCTTAGCCGTATGTACGCCGGACGTGACTTGTAAAACGGTCGAGCGTAATGAATTGCTTGTTCACGCGCAACCTCCTCGTATCGAAGCTTGCACACCACTTTACTGGAAAAATATAAATATCGTGGCAAATGACGCGGATCAGGACCGAACCTGGGATTTGCTAATCTGTAAAATCATAAAAGAGAAGATGTCATCATAGCTTAAGATAAAAAAAAACAAAACAAAAAAAACCGCAACATTATAAAATGTGACTATCAGTTGTTATATATTTGCAAACAGGCTAAGCAAGTTGACTGGGCACATTGAACATAATTCTGAATTAAATAGTCAAATGGATGTCCCTTCAAGGGAATTAACAGAAGGCACCTCTAAAAAAAGTGTTGCTCATGCATGCCAGTTTCCCGGACTCACACCTGTCTTCTTTCTCTCGTCAGGATACCCTGTGGGTATGGCAGCATCTGGCACCTGTCGTCCAGCATGCGTCGAGACCCCTCCTCCTCCCGTCAAGCTCCAGATAATATTTATCTCCGCTTGGCACGTCATGCAGTAAGACCCACAGTACTTATCTAATTTAGAAGTATAAGCAGGGACAGATCCAAGGGGGGGCGACGGGGGCGGCCGCCCCCCCTCCCCCCCCCCCCCCCCCCCCAAACAAAGTCGACCCCCCCTCCCCCATCTCGTAGGGCAATTTGACATGGCTGGACCCCCCGTTGCACATGAAAGAAGGGGAGAATAGCATCCTTACAAACTTTCTGCCCCCCCAAACGGAGTTCTGGATCTGCCCCTGAGTATAGGGTGTGTCTCACTTCGTCCATTCACTGTATGCTGTTACTTTCTTGTTCCAGTACGATGGTTCCTCAGAGAATCACAGTGAATACCACGAGGGCAACAAACGTGTGGAGGCAAGCTGCAAGGGCCGGACACCAGAGACAAGAACCATCCGTAACCAGGGGGATGAAGTGAGAAAACTCAAGAGGCAGCTCATCATCTGGGCCTCAAGAAGAAAATCGGAGACCGTACGCTGGGAAATTTGTCGACCCTCATCCTTGGGTGGCATGAGCATTTTCTGGTCATATTCGTACGTGAGGTGAACTGTTACTAGAACTAGGTTGACTCATCCTTCTGCAGCTTACAGGGCATTACCAAAGCTACGGCACCAACGAGACAACCGGAACATTTGGCTGAGGGACGGGACAACGTATTGTGGGAGTATACCCCTCCTACGGAGAGCTCTCACAAAACTTGCTTCGTTGCTCTGATTAGCTCCAAAGGGCGGCAGTGCTTTTCTTTGTAAAATTAGGCTGAAACAGATTATAGCTGTAATAGGGCCACCGAAATTGACATTGCGGCATAACATTCCTCATGAGGGTTCTGGCATCTATTCTATGATCTCTTATGCAATTATGTCGCAGGCCACAAGTGGTCACTTGACAATAATCTGCAACTCGTCATATGACAAACTGCGTAAATGGTTGGGTAAGTGCAGTAAAGGTAGTTCTGCATATCTGGGAAAAAACAGTGGCTGGGAGGGCTCTAGCTCTTCCTCATCACGATCTGTCTTAGGGATCAGCACGACAACCACAGCTGGTTGTCGTGCCAGTAGACCTTGTTCTGAAGTCACCGGAAGAAAAAAACAATAACCGGTTGCTGCCATCATGTTGTTTTAGCCAGTGGTCAAGAACAAGATTTTTTCTCTTGAGCTTGGACAAAGTGTTCTTCAATTAGTTTTCTCAAAGCCCCTTTGACACGCAATGGCACACATAACCTAGCTCAGTGGACACCCTACCTGTTAGTAGTGTTTCCAGTTTGTGCTAAATCACGAAAAGAGCCCTTGAAGAATAAGGTAGTGTGAAAAAGTAAATTTTTAATTCCTCATGCCAGAGATTCCCATCTGTTGGAGTTTGGATAGGAACAAGCTGTGGTCTGCGCTGTTAAAAGCCTTTCTGAAGTCTAACTGGACGATCTCGCACGGAGTTCGGTTGTCGAGGCTGGTGCTGAGTGCATAAGTGAAAGCTGCAAGGGCCGATTCGCAGCTCCTGCCGGGCGGAAACCATATTGGCGGGGGCTCCATTGTTTGGTTTAGCCATCGCAAGCCTTCGGACGGAGAACGTCGTAGCAGTTGTCTGTGTCGCGAATTCAAGCCGAGTTTAGATAAAGTTATATGTGCCGGAACTAGTCCTGGGTACTGTCTCCTCAACGTCGGGCCCCGACGTTGAGGAGAGACAGTACCCAGCACTAGTTCTGGCACATATAACTTTATCTAAACTCGGCTTGAATTCGCGACACAGACAACTGCTACAACGTTCTCCGTCCGAAGGCTTGCGATGGCTAAACCACCCTTTTTTTGCTGTCCCTCTTCTTTGTCCTCTTTTCTTCCCCTGGCCGCGAGGCGAAGATTCTTTCTAATCTGGCGCAAACGCCACGGTGGGACACACACACACACACACATGCCCGCACGCACAGCACCGAATGAGTCGGTAATACACTCCGTCACAAGTGGATGTTAGACTTGAGGGGGCACCGTGTCCCTTTTTGAGAGGCGTTACTGACTCAACTTTCCAGGATTTAGGAACAGAGCTGTGGGAGAGAAAATCGTTGAAGAGGCGAGTGAGGACGGGGGAGATACAGCCAGCACAGGATTTAAGCAATGCAGGGCGGAGGCTGTCTGGTCCAGGGCGTTGAGAGAAGTTGACACAGGCGAGGGCTTCGTAGGTTTCACTTTGAAGAATGAAAAAAAAAAAAAAAATTGGGTTGTGGGGATATTTATACAGCGTGTAGTTGGTCAGCCATTTTAAAGTTGCGACGAGTCACACGCTGTAGATGAGCAATTTAGCCAGTGCAGTACAACCGCTAGCCTGGGGTCTTTAACGTGCTCACGCAGTAGTGATACACCACCGTACGCAGGTACGATGCTCATCCAGATCGAAACGGGCAGGGGTGGGGCTTGAACCCAGGATCCCTGGGTTCTGCAGCGCGAGCCTTTGAAGAATGACTATGGAAGAGAGTGTGATTGCTGGTGTGGCCTTGAATGGCTGAGTTGTGGGTTGGGTGGGACAAAGGTTAGGTGCGGTAGGGTCAAGTAATGCTGCAGCCTGAGAAAAGTGGTAAGAGAAGAGCTCTGCTATGTCGTCAAGATTAGAATAGGGCCTGCCGTGATGTGTGAAGACCGGCGCGTGGAACATTTTTTTTTATAGTGAAAACATGCCCAAGAGTTTGGGCTGGCAGGTTGGTTTTGCTCTTAGTTGGTAGGTAACCGTTATGGGAGATATGAATGAGATGCTTGACTTCGGTACGTGCCTGGTGGGCTTGGTTAAGATGAGTGGGATTTAGAGGCACTTTTTTGAATAGTCGGTGTTTACGTCTGATTAAGACTGCAATCTCCTTTGTCATCCCTGGAAGGCTGCCGTGCCTCCTGTTGATCCTTAGGGTGAACACATTTGTGCTGAATTGCTGATATGTTGAGTGAGAGGTCGTCAGCCGATGGGTGATCAAACACGATGAACCAGGAAGCGAGGTGGATGAGTTGATTGAGATGAGGGAAATCGGTTTTTTAGAACTGCTGGAACTTCTTGGCTTGATGACCTCGCTTAGGGCAATGGATATTGGTGAGGAGAGCACTGCGATCACTGCCTGGTAGGCTGGATTTCACTGTGCAGCAGTAGGATAAGGTGGGATTATTGGTGCAGACGAGGTCGAGGAATGTAGCGTTGCTGTTTTGAGAAATGTAGAATGAGGCGTCATGAAGTTGGGTGAGGCCAGCAGTTTCCAATACGTCTTACAGCATGTCATCAAGTGGATCAGATGAACAGTGCAGAGAACTTGCTGGGGTCGACGCGCTGTAGGCTCTTTTGGAGGAGGGCGTACGATTGTTCACAGAGGGAGGGTGGGCAGTAGGTAGACACCAGAAGAAGCTTTCCATGGCTACAAGATGGCTTCTAGACCCGAAGGGGTGAGGTGGTCGAGACGTTGGCAGGGCAGGTGTTATGGCATGGCGAGGACGGACTCCCTCGCCCCAAGGAGGGACAGTTTTGCTAGAATAAAGAGAATTGTGCGAGATTGATTAATTCCCCATTAATTGCCCACCAAAGACAGGCGTCCAGCCATGTCTCGCACACAGCGAATATTGTATTCGGGAAAGATTACTTCAGCGCTTTAAAGTCAGGAAGGTTGTTTTTTAGGAAGCAAATGTTGGAAAACCAAACGTGATTGGAGTCTGTAGACTCCGATCGCGCACTTTTCACACGACAAGTATGCCAAACACGGAGTTGTCATGCGAACGGTGAATGCTTCCGATGTCGCTCGCCGGAGGCGGGTCGGAGAACTACTTGGTAGAGTTGGCGATGATGGCGGTGTACACAGGGGCTCCGTGCTGCTTAGGGGATGCAAAGAGGTCATCGGCCAGGGGTGGGAGCTGGCAAGCTGCACAGAGCCACTCGGTTGATAATGAGGATAGGCGTCTATACAAAGCGAGAGATACATCTTCACATTTCTGGTGGAACCACAAATCATAAATGTCGCATTAGAGAGTGGCGACATTGTCGACAGACAGGAAACAGCAGGGGCAGGTGGGACGTGAGCTGAAGTTTGAAGATACACCCGTGAGCGATATGAAGGCGAACAGCCCTCTTATTGTTTTTGACGCTCCTGCAAGTTTTGGAACAAGCTCTGTTCCAGAAGAGGGCTAAAACGCAATGTTTAGACCCCAAGCCACGTACCATTTGAGACGTTGAGAGTTAATATAGCTTTAGAGAGCCGTAAAACGGGCAAGAATCCAAGTAAGGTGTTCACTTTCATATTGCCGGCGGGTGTGCTTCACCGGTGATCAGCAATAACGAGATTATTTGAGGTTGGCGAGGGCGATGAGTGAAGAATGCTGAGCCACGAGGTTGCTTCCATGGACGACAATGTTCAATGGTGATGCTGCAGTCAGAAAGTGGCATTCTAGGTGCTTACGGTTTGTCGATGATAGGTGATATTTTTGTCGAAGGGCCAGTAGCCCCGTTACGCAGATCAGGAGACGGAGAGTTGTAAAGGCGCGCTGTCATCGAACCTAACAGCTAAACATTGTGCTGAAAAAATTGACTGGCTAGATCCAACATATCTCATAGAAAACTGACCAGGGGGGCAATGTTCGACAAATGTCTTGTTTCTCCTAAGAAGAAAAGGAAGTGATGGAAGTGACGATATCGCGTCTGATTAGTTAGAGGCTCAAATGACGAAAGCGGGAACTTTCATCGTTTGAGCCTCAAACCAATCAGACGCAATATCTTCACTTCCATCACTTCCGTTTTTTTTAGGAGAAACGAAACATTTGTCGTCGAACATAGCCCCCAGGTGTGTTGAACATTCATCTTGGGGGGGAAAGGACAGGCAGGTCAAATGCACCTCCAAGCACAGCTTTATTCTTTACCACATTAGCCTGTAGTTACTGTTAAAGCAACTGGTTTGTAATCGTACTCGTTATGTAAAACTGTCGCGTCTGTGCATTTTTTTTTTTTGCATGGTTTATGAATAGCTGTTTTGGAGTACCTTTACCGCGACTTTACTTCTACGTGTTTAGACTGTTTGTTGATCTTAAGTTTATCATTGTTTATGCACATAGCTCGAAGGCTAACATTCAAACTGTTTGTACTACCGTGTATGTTCGATAATACCCGTCAGCAACCGCATCATTGCATGTGCTGTTTGTAACATTTTCTTATAAATTGTACTATCTAGAGCGAAAATAAACATTTGCCTGCTTGAAATAACTCTTGTGTGAATAAATTACCTGTGATTGTCGTCCAGTGGGGCGCACGTCACAATAAAGCGAAAGCGCAACGCAAGCGGACGCGAGAACCGGGTACACAAAATGCCATGGGGGCCGCCATTTTGAAAAGCAAAACAATAAAAACGAAGCATAAAATGTGGTTAGTTACCCCATCCGTGGTGAGAGAGCGCTTTTACGAGTTTAAATAATTGTTTAAGAAACTTTCGCCCTTTTTGAATTAATTGGTTGTCAATATAATTTATATTGTGTGAATAATATGTAATTAGTTAAGTTCTACATTGTAGTTTTATTCACACAAGGCCCTCGATCACGTGGTTTGCGATTACCACAGGCTTATTCTACAGTGGGCAAACTGTATATGATAAACTGTGGCTACGGCTGCACCCGGCTGTCCGAGTCAGTTTAGTTCTGTTCTTCGCGTTCGTCGAATAGTCGGGCGGCGCTCGACCGGCTGCGGGCGCACGGATACTGACGCGCCCATCGTTGCCCTGGATGGATTCCCACTGACCTCGGCTTTGAATCTTTATTTAGTGTGAAGCTGCCGACCCATTGCACTTTGGCTCGGCATCTGGAAGCGCTTGACGCTGGTGTGCTTGGTGACTATACTTGGACAACTCGGATACCGCTTGCCCGCCGGAACTTCCCGATG